AAAAAAAAAAAAAAAAAAAAAAAAAAAAAAAAAATTCCTTATTCATGAAGGATGGGGAAAGCAAGTATACTTGGAGATATTTTCTATGCATATTAGTCTATTAAATGTTCTAAGAAATCTTTAATATATTTTGCCTTTGTGAGATCTAGCATAGTGTCTCAAACCTGATTTACTAAGCTCTGGCTCTTTTATGTGTGATATTAGAACACAATTGAGGAAACTGTGGATTGATTCTTTGACCTTTATGTGATCATATTGATTTTTTTGAGACATCGTCTCCCTATAAGGTCAGGATGGCCTTGAACTCATGGCAATCCTCCTGTCTTAGCCTCCCAAGTGCTGGGACTGCAGGCGTGTGCCACCACCACACCTAGTGTGATCATGTTGATTTTTATCTGAGATGAAATAATAATTGTTTTTTACTATTGTGATAAATTGAAGGTTTTTGTTTTGTTTTGTTTTTTTGTGGGGGGGTTGAGGCAGGGTTTCCCTTTGTTTTGTTTTTATTTATTTGGTACCAGGGTTTGAACTCAGGACCTTGTGCTTGCAAGGCAGGAGGAGGCACTAAATCCCTGGCCCTGGGGTTTCCCTTTGTAGTTCAAGCTGGCCCCGAACTCAACTGTAGCCCAGGTTAGCCTCGAACTCTCTGTGATCCTCCTGCCTCAGCCTCCAGAGTGCCTCCAGAGTACAGGTGTGTGCCACCATGCCCAGCTAGGTTTATTTTGAGTTTGTGTGTGTTTGGGGGTGCTGGTGGTTGAAGATTGAAGTCAGAGCCTTTGTACTGAGCTCCATCCCTGGCCTTTATTGATTGATTGTCAGAGTCTTCCTAAGTCACCCAATTGCCCAGGCTACACTTGAACTTGCAATTTTTCTGTCTCAGCCTCAGTGCTGGGATTATAGGCATGCATCACCATGCCCAGCTTGATAAATTTAATTTTTGGAATCTTGGTTTTTGGGGGTTTTTTTGGTGTTGGCAATTGAACTCAGGGCCTCATGCTTGCCAGGCAGGTGATGTACCACTGAGCTACATCCCTGGCCCTGATAAATTTAATTTTTAAAATTATCTTTTAAATTCATATTCCTCTTAAAATCTTTCATTGTGTTTAAAATTATTTGAAATTCACATGATAGTGATTTAAGAAACCAAAATGACACAAAGTTGTATTTTGTTTTCTGATGATTTCCATCACCTGTGCCTATCAGGCAATCTGTGATAAGTTCTCACAGAAACTTAAGTCAATAAAACTAAAAATTAGATAGGGCACTATGCATTCCTGGCAAGCACAAGGATTTGATTCCCAGTACCAAAAACAAAACAAAATACTTAAAAATAGAATTATGTATGTATTGTCGAGTATGTGCTAAGGGAACACAGTACAATAAATAAATAACAGGATTTTTAATGTAACTTAAATTTATTTTGCCCCCAGTTTTTCTTATTATTTGAGCAGATTTTGTCTAAAGTGAGATTCAAATTCAAAAAGTACTGAATTATATAATCAGGGATTAAAGAGAGACTATTAAATACTTTTGCCAGTCTTGATCGTGTATGAAATCTTAAGGTTATACAAAAGCTTTTCAGTTTGGAATGAAAAGTAATCTTGTTCTTTCACCTGCTGGGTTTTGTAGATGTTGAAAGTAGAGGGAAAGATAGGCTTGTGCTTTTTTTTTTTTTTTTTTTTTTTTTTTTTTTTTTTTTGACAGGGTCTCACTATGTAGTTGAGACTGAACTGGAACTCACTAGGCTTTTACTATTAAGAGACTTGAACTTTTTCACTTCATAATACAGAAATGGCTGAAATAACAAATGGAAAGCCCTCTTAGGGAAAAATCAAGCTAAGATGGAAGACTTTCTGAAGTCAAAGCTTTAAGTTAGGAGAGGGGATGTAGCTCAGTGGCAGCATGCTTGTCTGATATATTAGGCCCTGGATTCAGTTCTCAACTCTAAAGAGAAAAAAAATTTAAGGGAATATATTTCATATACATGAGACTGAAAATTCTCCAGCTGATTTTTTTAAAAGCTTGACTGAAATTACTTTAGAATGGTAAGGAAGCTGGGCGTGATGGCTCATGCCTGTAATCCCAGCACTATGGAGGCTGAGGCTGGAGGATCGCTGTGAGTTCTGAGACCAACCTGGGCTACATAGTGAGTTCCAGGTCAGTCTCAACTACATAGTGAGACCCTGTCTCAAAAAACAAAACAAAACAAAAAAAAAGAATGTTAAGGAAAAGAGAAAGATTAAAAGGCACTTCACGCCTAATGTCCTCTAGTTTGACAACGTTTTCCCTGATTGTTGCTCTGATTTGTTGTGCTTTCAGGACAGAACATTTGATGGTAAATTATATTCGGTTGGAACTTTTATCTTCACTGTAAGAGAAACTGCAGGAGAAACTTCTGAATAAAATGGGTTTTGATTTCCAGTACCACACACACACACACAATTTTCATTTGGAAGCTATGTGGTACAGGGAACATAACTAGAAAGTATGTGGGAAAACCTACATACTCATACTCCCTCAATGCTGATGTCTAAGCAGCAGGCTGTCATAAGAATCTTAGGTATATATAGATGGAGTTAGGAAATTTAGCTAGAACTTCAAACTTTGGCATGACTGTTCGCTAGGACAGGTTTCCACTTTTTTTTTTTTGTTACTGGGGATCAAACTCAGGCCCTTGCACTTACAAGGCAGGCAGCGGAACCACTGCGCCAAATCCCTGGCCCTTTTTTTTGAGACAGGATCTTGCCTTGCAGTTCAAGCTGACCTTGAACTCACTATGTAACCCAGGGTGGCCTCAAACTCACAGCAGTCCTCCTGCCTCAACCTCTTGAGTGCTAGGATTACAGGCATGCGCCACCATGCCCGTCTTTTACATTTTACTTAGATATTTTAACTTACCAAAGTATTCCTATACACGTCTTAACCTCTAGGTGTCTTGGATTGCATTTTCCTTGCAAAATTTGTGTATTGGGATTTCTTCTATGTTTCAGTTATATTTGTTAATTGCTCAAACACTACTGTTGGAACTCAGGACCTTGGCGCTTGAGAGGAAGGAGCAGTGCCACTGAACTAAATCCTGGGCCCAAATACTACTGTTTTTGACTGGCACAAAAAGAACAAAATTTTGCCAGCTGTGATGGAGTATACCTATAATCCCATATAATTGAGAGGCAGAGGGAGAGCATCACAGGTCTGAGGCCAGTCTTTTATTTTTTTTTAATTTATCCCATTTCTCCCCCTCCTTTAATGCCCCCTTACTTCCCTGAATACAAAAGCAATCTTGGCTACATAGTAAATTCAGGTCCAGCATGATTTTTGAGACCTTGTCTCAAAAAAACACTAAAAAAGCTGGGTGTGGTGGTACACACACCTGTAATCCCAGTATTCTGGAGGCTAAAGCAGGAGGATCGCTGTGAATTTGAGGGTAGCCTGTGCTACTTAGTGAGTTCAGGACCAGCCTGTTTCCTGGCTGTCATAGTGAGACCCTGTTTCCACCAAAAAAA